GATTCCATTTCTTCGTTGTCTTTTGTAACAAATATGAGAAATGATGTATGTATTTATCTAATCCATGGTAATGTGGTTTTCCAAGAAATTTAAATAAACCCTCCATATTTCCGTAGACCGACAGTAACTAATTAAAGGTAGTAGGCAGTGTGGTTGTCAGCATCATCAGAGTATAGTGGATTTGACCGAACCATATACATTTCATTGTAATCAAGCCATCGTGTTATTGATCTCGTCAGATTATTCTACATCATGTGTTTCCGATAAAGCGTGCTTAGATACAGTTGGGCAGTCTTTCTACTATCATGACGGTGGGAACGTTCCTCCAAGGTCTTCAACAGATTTTTAGTTAATACCTGTTGATCTATGGACATCTATAGACTGGCCAGAGGTAACTCGCTAAATACTCCTCTGAAGGTTTGTATACTGAATGTAACCTCTCACACATGGAATAATACTAAAATAATGATAAACGTGTGTACAGTCATTTCCTCGAATTAGGCGTCCGTTTTATGTAGAAAAATATTGTTACAAAATGATCTAGATATTTTGTATCCATTAAACACTACCAATAGATAACAAAGAATGATTTTGGAACATTTTACATTCTTCCTTATGCAATATGATGTCTTTACCTGTTTCAAATACATTTCATTGGTTCTCAAAACTGGTTGACAATGATAAATTAAGTCCATATAAGAATATCTACATTATGTAGTTGGTAAACGTTTGTTTGCCTACCAATCATTGTGACTACGGTTGGTATCCAATCTACTACTTCAGGCCATATCAACTGTCTGTAATACATTTTGTGTAGGTTAAAGCTTGCCTATGATATATCTTATTATGTAAGGTAAAACCTGTCTATTATATATCTTATTATGTAAGGTAAAACCTGTCTATTATATTTCTTATTATGTAAGGTAAAACCTGTCTATTATATATCTTATTATGTAAGGTAAAACCTGCTTATTATATATCTTATTATGTAAGGTAAAACCTGTCTATTATATATCTTATTATGTAAGGTAAAACATGCCTATGATATAGCTTATTATGTAAGGTAAAACCTGTCTATGATATATCATTATTTAAGGTAAAACCTGTCGATAAAAGGTACATATGAGGATATGTCATACACTTTATAATATGAACTGTTTGTTGGTAAGGACGAACCAGATAGCATGCTTATTTATTTAGTTTAGTAAATTTGTGAGCACATAGATAATAACAGGAATCACATTACCTGAAATTATAAGTGAAAACAACAAACACTTCATGATTTATCACAAAACTTCGTTTATTTCGGGGAAACACATTTATTTACACGTTACTGGAAGCTATTTTTATACAAATTTTGATATAGATAAGTACACAGAATATTTGATAAACTATCTGTGAATGTTCAAAACTCTGTCTTACAGAATGATGCATTTTACAAACATTGGCATACATTTATTCAGTGTAAAGACATATGGATAATTGATAAAATTTCATCTTAAATGAAACAGTGTCCCTTGCCTTTGGTTAAAATATTATTATTAATGATATTGAGTGACCTTCAGCTTTGATTGTACCTCAGTGATCAGCATCTTTAATAGAACTTCAGTGACCATCTTCAGTATTATAATGTTTTCGTTTTAAAAAGTGACACGAATGAGTCTCCATTTCAACCTCTTAAAGAAAGCCTCACTGATAATAACGATAAGCAAAACATGAACAGGAAACGTCATATAGAAATATCTGTCTTTTGTTTGCACCTACAATTAAAGTTTTATTTTATTTTTTACACAGATCAATAGATAGGGTATATGATAGCGACATTTTTCTGTACTTCACAAACCGTTTGTGTTTCGAGTGTCACACCCAATATTGTTGTGTCTACCCTTAACTTTTTGTCATATTATCTTGTAAGCACTGTTAAAACAGCATCATCCACTTAAGTGCTCTTTCTGATAATATGAAGTAGAAAATTTGAACAAGTCATGAAATTTTTTTTACCTCAATAATGCTTACAAGTTATTCATTGTGCTGCAGTACAAAATCTGACAGGAGAACACAGACGTGGGTCAGATATGTAGGAGAGTCATGACCACCCCGTTAACATGTTTTATTTGAAAGAAAAACATAAATTATTTTTGAACATTGTGCTGTTTTCATATATTTTGTAATAATTGTTATATAAACAACCCAGAGAAACTGCAATTGGCGCAATCACATTTCAACACAATACTTTGGGCACGAAAAGCGCTCGAATAAGATTACCACTAACTTTTTTCCTCGGAAGCTCACAATTTTTTTCTTAACTGACAGAGCTGAGTCTTCAGGGTTTCCGATGATGCGCAAAATATATACATTTACAGTAAAATGGCTACCTGCTATAACAGAAGGTCGACAGTGAAATTTGTAGAAAACGAGTAAGTGATAGTGTATCGAATGCATGTGATAATAATTGCGCGAGACTCAATGATAATTGAGCGAGTTATTCACGAAGGATACTCTCGGTGTCCTGTCTTATTTTTGATAACTGACTTAATATAGCAATGTGTTAAATCACACTTATACTAAAAATATTAGAGCGCTCTCTTAAAAAGTAAGCAAGATGTCAAGAAACAAATCTGCTCAAATATCTATATAACAATAAACTAACCGTAGATCAAACGTATCTAGAGACGTCTGTAGAGATCAGTGAGAAGCACGATATGGGTATCATCTTTATCTCAGAAACATTGTTCGACGACGACGACGACGACGACGACGACGATGATGATGATGATGATGATGATGATGATGATGATGATGATGATGATGATGATGATGATGTTCGAAGACGACGACGACGACGACGACGACGACGACGATGATGATGATGATGATGATGATGATGATGATGATGATGATGATGATGATGATGGGTGTGCGATTACTATGTCTGTTAAGGAATTAGGCCTGGTATCGAAGCTGTAAGGGTTGTCTACGTGGTAAATAATGAAATAACCTGTTGTTGAAGTTCACGGCGCCCAGTATTATGAAGGCATTTGTAATGAAAGCATAAAATCATTCCAGAAATAGCTTACCACCCACTAGGAAAAGAAAGGGTGAAATTGGTTTCGTTAGTGAGCTAATCTACAATAGACACGAAAATTTAAACCACTATTATAGAAACAAACAGATAAGAAAGGTTGCCTTTTTTCGAAAATCTGTGGCCTCGTTCGTTGCCATTATCGTTATCATTGTTGGCATTATCGAAACAAAAAAATACAAAAGACCAAAAACGATAAATAAAAAATTAACCTTTTAAACAATAAAACAACTAACGAACACATTCGACTGCATTTAGAAGCTAACATGGTCCCTGGTCATAGAAGTAGAAAGAAAAGAAAATGTTTATAAATTGTACTGACAAGATAAACAGAGATGAAGGCAGAATGAGATCTAGGAGAGGCCATCTTCAGGACTACTGCTTGGTAACAGCGTCTTAAGGGCTGCTGCTAATTAACAACGTCTTAAGGACTAGTGCTAAGTAACAGCGTCTTAAGGACTACTGCTAAGTAACAGCATCTTAAGGACTACTGCTAAGTAACAGCATCTTAAGGACTAGTGCTAGGTAACAGCGTCTTAAGGACTACTGCTAAGTAACAGCATCTTAAGGACTAGTGCTAAGTAACAGGGTCTTAAGGACTAGTGCTAGGTAACAGCGTCTTAAGGACTACTGCGAAGTAACAGCATCTTAAGGACTAGTGCTAAGTCACAGCATCTTAAGGACTGGTGCTAAGTAACAGCGTCTTAAGGACTACAGGTAAGTAACAGCGTCTTAAGGACTAGTGCTAGGTAACACCATTGTGTTACGCAAAAACTGACTAGCATTGATTTGTTTATTAGCTGGGGTCATATCCCCATAAACTGACAGGTTTCGGAAAGATTCTCCTTATACACACTGTAATCCTTGTACCTCACTGATCATTATGCGGGCGATCCATCGCATGTTACACAGATCACTTGGTGTAAAGTAAGTAAACAAACCTACGACAACATAGAACGATCCTTGGTTTCCTGCGAAACACATATTGTACCGAGTAGTAAATATCACACCCAGTTATCGCAAAGCCTGATGTCCTACCGAGCTGTCGATGTCACATTATAGGGAAGGTTTTGGGATATGTACGTAGATATTTACACAGTGCGTCATATAAATGATTTGCGGAAAACAGTAGTGAATGGTAACCATTGTAAAGTGAAAAAATGTTTTTAAAAAAACACACACATATTTGAATCGCAATGAGAGGAAAATAGACTCTTGTACACTTATGACAATGCCGACAATATCTCAAGCAGTCATTATTAGTGACATATGAGCTTGTACAATATATCAATTGACCTGATGAAGCCTCCGAAAGATATCATCAAACACCCAAGACTTTAATATTTGTGACGTAGCAACCGTTACTGAAGGGCCTCAATGTGCGTGACCGAACATAGTCATATTTATAATAAAATGTTTATATGAAGTTGTCATTGTTAATACAAATTTTTAAAGTTTAAAATTGATCACATAAACGATTTTCACATTTATTTAACAGCACGTATTCGTCAGTACGCCGAGTGATAAGGTTTAACAGGTGTATTCGTACATGTATGTCCGATCGTCAATACGTTCTTCGTAAAATGTTCACACTGGGTGAGAAAAAGTCCAGAAGCTAGATAGGTATAAAGGTTCATTGTATTTCAACACATTCCGAATATCCAATTCTCCGACAATACACGTGTGTCTGACCAGTCAATTCCTTGAGTGATATATAGACTTGGTAATAGCACTTTACATAGTCTGGACAGTTGCCCTAAAATCTCAGCCATGCGTCTGGCACCAAACCCTATAGTGTATATGAAAGTCACATTATCTAGGTTACCTATGAGTTCCACATAATCGATTCCATCTTACATAGTAAACATTCATTGGTTTAACTAAATGAGACACGTGTTCAAAAGACAATTTTCCCTTTTTAACCAGTAGAAGTGTCTTCACATATAACATTTGAAAATTCAGTGGAGACAAACTTCTGAGAACTGACCAATGGTGTTTGGTCCCGAACACAGAACGGATAGGAGTCTCTGTGTACACTAGTGTTGGTAGTAATCCGAATGGAACTGAAAGTACTCGACCGAATCACACTCGTCATAGTCTTTGATCGTCGGAATGCATCATGGCGGATGAGCATACCATCTACGTCAATGCCCGGATGCACTCGTCGCGATCTCTTGCAGCAACTGAAGCAGGCCTTGACTTCCGCTCGGAAACTCTCGTTGAGCCAGCAGTACACAAAAGGGTTATAGCACGTGCTGCTGATAGCAATCCAATGGAACACGAAGAATGTTGTACTATTGTATTTAAACGTTCGAATGTCCGGGTGGAACTTTGTCAAAATGTGATACAAATTTAAAGGCATCCAACACAATGCAAACACCACTACTACGGTCACCAGCAGTTTGATACTCTTGCGTTTTGCCCTCGCTTGTGACATTTGCTGTGTCCGTGTTACTGCTCCAAGTTGTACTCGTTTCCACAGACGCATCACAATTCTACCGTACGCCACAGCTATAATACTCAGTGGGATTATATACTGCAATACAACCGTGATAAGTGTCAGATACTTCGCAAAAAGTTCCTGTGGTTCTGGAAAGTGGGGGCTGCACCTATCTACTCTCGTGACAACCATACTGGTACTTTGCACCTTGTTGAAAATACCATAAGGCAAGGAAAAGAAGATAGCTATCAGCCAGATGATCACGAGTACCACCAGACCCATCTTTTTGGTCATGCGTGGCTGGAGAGGTTTTAGTAACACGTTCTGTCGGTCGAGGGCAATAGCAGTCAAGGTGAAGGTCGAAACGTACACTGAAACCATAAGGGAAAAATTCACAAAGTGACAAAGTACATCACCAAAAGGCCAGTTGTCAAGAAGGTGCTTTGCTATGTTAAATGGGACGTTGAAAAGGGTCAGTAATAGATCGGACATAGCCATATTAGCGATGAAAAAGTTTGTCACCGTATACATCCGCTTGTTCCTTAGAATCACATAACACACAATACTGTTACCGAAAAAGGATATCATGATGAGAATTCCATATGCGAATGCCAATATTAGCTTCTCAAAAACATCTTCAGACTGACGCTGTACCCAAGGCGTAGAAGTTGTGTTGCTGAAGTCGAAAGCTGTCCTGTTCTTGAACATTCGCAAGAAAATATTTATCGAGTCTAAGTGGTGTTCCAGCATGGTGGCGATTTTTTACTTACCAAAGACAATAAAAATGGACTTTTTTAGTATTATTGTCGCAGATTTAATGCAAAATATTTGATGACAGATTGTGTAAGGTATCCTGCATGATCGCACCAACTTCTGTATCAGAGATGGAATCGTCCACTACAGCTGTGGATGTGTAGCCCGGCTCCAGCATAATAAAACTCGGGATCACCCTACAGAAAAGGTCCTGTAAAAGAAAAAGAAAAACGTATTAACTAAATATAATCTTAATGTAATTTTATCAACAACAAGAGAACATTTGTATATTCACAGTATGCAAAATCCTAATACGAGATTAATGAATGATTGACGCCCATCCGACAGAGTATGAGTTATATACAATTGAATTGTAGTACATAAAGACAATGTCTTATACCTAGAAATACATTGGTATTCTGTACAAGTGAACGAAGTGGGATTTGGGAAATTTAAATGGCGGCCGCTATTATGGAGATATAGAATAACTAGACTACAGAAAGTAATGGCCGGAGACGGTGATCTCCCTGGGGACTCGTCCATCTGACCACAACGCCGTTTCTATAAAACTGCCAATTTGACATGGTCGATCTACTTTATATGGAACAGAATATTAACGACAGGAACGATGATGGCACTGAAAGAAACATTACGATCTATGTTGGTGCGCTCGAACACTCGTGGAAACGTAGCAAATTACGAAATCCCCTCTTTTATCTATGAAGTTCCTCCAGATACAATGTACGTATGGTATTTTAGAGTAGAGATTCCTAATTGTGCGTTATAGCAACGATGGAATTAATATAACCTGTACAATCAAGAATCAATTATTGAGAAAAAATAAATGTCGATGTTTCCTGATCAGTTTTCCCCCACCCCCATAATATGTTGGCACTGTGGTATTATATTTCTGTGTTTTTTATATGTATATTCTATATGCGAACCCCCTTCCTCTGCCTCCTCGCTTCCTCTCTTCCTCAACGAACACCATTATACACACGGAACCCTGTAATTTTTAATTTCATTCTGATACAGAAAAATAACACATGTAAAGATGCGATTTGATCATTGTCAATAATCATTCCTGCGATATACATCAAAACCTAGATAGATTGACGGGAGGCGCCGTGTTCTCCAGGTTTTGGTGTTTTTTCTCTGTCGTAGTTACACGTAACGTCAGTTTGTCAGTACGAATTATGATCTAAATGGGGCTGTATAGCTGAAATGTAACATGTCGTAAAACTATTTCTGTCTAAATAGAAGAAAGAGTTTACATTTGTTTTAATAAACAGGGAGCGTTACTTGATTTTGTCGTGTAACGCAAAGCCTTGTCACCAATTTTCCATGCACTTAATACATTTGTATGAATCTATGGCTTTGACTGTATATATCGCTTCTACATTTTATACAGCGAAATTGCTACATGTAGATGTTATAGATGTTCCCATGGTTATAAAGAGAAAGAGTGAGTAAATATTTAATAGATGTTTCCATGGTGATAAAGAGAAAGTGTGAGTAAATATTTAGATGTTTCCATGGTTATAAAGAGAAAGTGTGAGTAAATATTTAGATGTTCCCATGGTTATAAAGAGAAAGTGTGAGTAAATATTTAGTAGATGTTCCCATGGTTATAAAGAGAAAGAGTGAGTAAATATTTAGTAGATGTTCCCATGGTTATAAAGAGAAAGAGTGAGTAAATATTTAGTAGATGTTTCCATGGTGATAAAGAGAAAGTGTGAGTAAATATTTAGTAGATGTTTCCATTGTTTTAAGAGAAAGTAAATAGATGTATACATTATCACAAAACAGAAATGTGAGTAAATTAATGTATACATGATATTACTGTATCCATGGTTACAAAGTATGGTTACAAACAGGAAGTGTGAGTGAATTAATGTATACATGGTTACAAAGTGGGTGGTATAAAGCAATGTAATTTCAGTATCTTCTGCGTTTCGTTATATATACAATACACTAATTACGCTTTGAAAAACGTTAACACCAACACCACTTTCATTTTGAGGCGAGGTCTCTTTGTAGTAGCCTGTTGCTATCTCACTGAACAACTCCACAGCACAGACAGGTTAGATTATTCTCATCCCGAGAAACAAGCCGAACATTTAAGGAACATCCAAATACGCACCTCGAATTTTACAACACTTCATGCACTTGTAGTATGAAAAATTTGAAGCTTTCCATAAGAACCAATGTTAAAGTTGTATGTTTTTACCTAGGAAAGTTACAACATTGTGTCAGTACTTTCGAAATTTAAATGAAATAAAACGCAATTAAAAATATCATTTTACAACAGATGCTATTCAAAGAATAGAATTCAAAACTATTCTTTAATGGCAATCTTCATTGAAACAATATCTCGACAAACTGCCTGTGGGGTTTGTACATGTTAATATTGAAACTCGAAGACTGACGTGACTTTTCAGCCAGTGTGCTTGTATTTTCACGGAAATCATTTTTATAAAAGCTCATAGTATCAAACAATCACATGAAATAAACTGACTTGAACACATATATAAAGTTTATGATACAAGTATTGCCAGAAAAAAAAGTAAAGAAATGAAATTTCATATTCCTTGAGATATTCCTACTGAAATTCTCGGTTTCGAAATCCCACTCAGTATTCACGTGGGATATGTTGTTCCCTCTTGTGTTACTGTTTACCTGATCACGTGATACATGAACCGCTTTCACAGTTATCTGGATCTGTTGATTTCCTATATGTTAAGTCTGAGACATGTTTTATTCGTTGTTTTATCATGTGTTGTCGTTTGTATGGTAGGTTACTACAGACATGGTCACGTGGGGATGATTTTAACTTATATGTTACTACAGACATGGTCATGTTGGGTTTCTTCTTGTACAACTCTCCGGTTTGGTTTTTCCATAAATCCAGCAAGTTTTGCATTATGTATATATACGACATTTTGCCTTTTAAGTCAATTGAATATCCGTAACGGAGCCTTCATTTTATTGTCTGTTCCAGTACACTTAGGTTAGCATGGTGGCACATTTCGCCAAATGTGCCAAAATTTCCTTTACAAGGAGACAAAATCGGTACATAGACGAACTCAATAGAAAATGTAATGGCTGCAATGTTTCTGCAATCTTTGCCAACTATCAGTGGGGTAAAACGAAATCTGTGGAATAGTGCTATCTGTCTTTGTAAACGTTACTGGATAGGTTTCACCAGGTCCTGCAGATCCGTTCATCAAAACCGATTTCTTTTTGTCCATGTCCCGGAAAATACTTCCTCTCATGCGAAAGACCTCTATCACTTTCATTACGCAATTTGGTTAAGTGAACGCGACAACCGGAAAGCATTTACTAAACCGCAAACAAAAACGTCTTGTAGCCGGAATTACACGTATAATATTGTTTAAAATGTCTGTATCATAAGGACGTTTTAATTACAAACTCACTTTTTTTTCTTTCTCTTTTTTTTTTTTTTTTTTAGAGTCATTACAACCTGGTTGACTGCTTTAGTGAGTCCATACTGGTATTGATCTTTTACAGCTATGTTCTTGAAAATTAATTTCATGCCATTTTTCCTGTACGTTGAATATTCATTAAGCCTGACAAGGCTCTATTATAGAGACGTGTAAGTGTATCACCATGTTGGAAGCTGAGGCCGAAGAGGTATGCACATAAAAGGATTAATGAATAAATCATTGCCAGTATTAAATCACAAAAATCAAATGCTAAGTTCCAGCAGGGCTGGGGACCTTTACCGAGACGACCATCGGACAACGAACTATCCAAGAAGACCCCTCTACAGTGCCAATGCTCATCAAGTTTGTTGCTTACTCGAATCGACAGCATCAAGTCGAAATAGAGTTACTGACACTGATCGTATCATCAGGGGCGTAATTCTGGCATGTTTTACTCAGGAGAAATGTTCGGACTTTGTGAGAAATAGATTGAACATCAGTGTTGACGTCTGTCACCTGTGATAACGCACCACGTGATAAATAAGGTTTTTCTAACCCGTGGTTGGGTCAATATCGGGTTTGTTTAACGTCAAAACATTATCGGGTAACATTGTTTATTTGATTGTAACTGGATTCCTGTATAGAAATAACTTGAGGAAATCGTTTCAGATAAAGAGAGAAAGAGAGATCACCTCAAGGGAGTGAAATAATGCGATACTTGTTCGTAGTACCAAAGTTTCAACAAAATTTGACTTTCGGAATGATTAAATTATGTCCTGTAAATCTGAGTGTTAGTACGTGTTAAGAGATACCCACAAACCACAGGCTCTAATATATATAAATGTGCATACTTTGTACACCGTCTATCTTTAATTGACTCCATGGCGTTTCAATATCCATATCAAATTTATTTCATTAACAGAACTAAAACCTTTTGGTTTGGAATTTTAAGACCGCGTTTTATAAATGTTTACTTGTATATTACATTTTGTGTTAGATAGTTGTCGTCGTGTTCAGCTTATATTTATTTTTTTATATTTATTTCATCTTTTAAAAATTATATTTCAGAGCAATGTCAAATGTAGTTACTCTAATTTTTCAAAATTTTCGACTGCAATGAAGTTTTGAGCTTGTAAAATAAAATTAATCCTATTCAGAATTATAATGATTCCAGTAAATCTATTGTATTTTAATGAAAGAAGAATTCTGATGACATCGATCCGAAAACTACAAAAATAAAGCCAGAAAGAGCAATGATTACATATCGTGATTTTCTGTTATACATGTGCAGGTGCCCGACTTTCCGTCGTCTAACCATTTAAAAAATATCATCCAGAACAAAAGTTGAATTTATAAGTAAGACAGATAAACATGATTAGCTATACTGACACGCTACAGTCTGTCTACTGGGGCCATATATAATGTACACTTTTTGTCATGCTGGAAGATGCCCGCGGTCACCGCTGATTTCAGATGGATGATTAGGCCTTGGAAGTCTGTGTGTCTACCAGTTATCATTGAAAAAAGAAACGCTTTGGAAAAAGTCCTCTG